TTAATTATTATATCAACGACTGAAATGATTTATAAACATCTAGATTGCAGATAACACTCGAAATTAACCCGAGCTCTTTCCACACGGAATTCAAATAATTCTAGTTTGTCAATCGGTTGACTGCTTATAATGCAAAATACTAATATATCAAAAGTTTTTAAAACTAACAAAACACAATGATCGTTTCTCTATTTCCCAATGTAAATGAAATGAAACAAAAAACATTTTATATCGCAATAAGAAGAGGAGAGAATTCAACATTTCCGGATCTACTTAGAGTTTAATGACCCCCCACGTAGATAAGTTGGATATCGCGGAAGGAAGGATTAACCCGGCAACTAGAAAGGCATTAAAGCACTGCCTTTAAAAACACGGTTAGATTTCGCATATCAAAGAACCCCAATAATTCAATTTTTGATGAAATCAAACAAAGTTTAATTTTGGACCCTTTTGACCTCAATATGAACCAATTTGATAGCGGGCCCACAAATAAAAAATCTAAATACATGGTAAGATTCAGCATATCAAAGAACCCCATATATTAAATTTTTGTTGAAATCAAACAAAGTTTAATTTTGGACCCCAATTTGGACCAACTTGAAAACTGGGCCAAAAATCTAAAATCTAAATACATGTTTAGATTCAGCATATCAAAGAACCCCATATATTCAATTTTTGTTGAAATCAAACAAAGTTTAATTTTGGACCCCAACTTGGACCAACTTGAAAACTGGGCCCATAATCAAAATTCTAAACAAATGTTTAGATTCAGCATATCAAAGAACCCCAAAAATTCAATTTTTGTTAAAATCAAACTAAGTTTAATTTTGGACCCTTTGGACCTTAATGTAGACCAATTTAAAAAACGGGACCCAAAATTAAAAATCTAAATACACGGTTAGATTTGGCATATCAACAAAGAACCCCAATAATTCAATTTTTGATGAAATCAAACAAAGTTTCATTTTGGGCCCTTTTGACCTCAATATGAACCAATTTGATAGCGGGCCCACAAATAAAAAATCTAAATACATGGTAAGATTCAGCATATCAAAGAACCCCATATATTAAATTTTTGTTGAAATCAAACAAAGTTTAATTTTGGACCCCAATTTGGACCAACTTGAAAACTGGGCCAAAAATCTAAAATCTAAATACATGTTTAGATTCAGCATATCAAAGAACCCCATATATTCAATTTTTGTTGAAATCAAACAAAGTTTAATTTTGGACCCCGATTTGGACCAATTTGAAAACTGGGCCAAAAATCAAAAATCTAAATACATGTTAAGATTCAGCATATCAAAGAACCCCATATATTCAATTTTTGTTAAAATCAAACAAAGTTTAATTTTGGACCCTTTGGACCTTAATGTAGACCAATTTGAAAACTGGACCCAAAATTAAAAATCTAAATACACGGTTAGATTCGCATTACAAATAAATAAATGTGGTCAAAGATTTTACAAATCTAATGCGCCATACTGGTCTTCCTTTATAAATATGCATTTCTTTAAACATAATTTAAAAGCAGTGTAAGGGAAGTAACCAAAACGTTGTATTTGGATTACCTCCCTTACACTGTTTTAAATTATCTTAATTGTTCATTAACCATTACTTTATACATAATTTAAAAGCAGTGTAAGGGAGATAATTTCAATGATGTATTTGATTTATCTCCCTTACACTGCTTTAAATTATGTTTTGTACTAAAGTATTTGTCCATTAATGAGGACAACCTTGTTTTTCCCCCTTTTTTGCCCCTAATTCTTAAACGGTTTGAGCAATAACCCCCCCAAAGCAAATCCTAACCATCCCTTTGTGGTATGGAAACTTGTAGTATAATTTCAGAGAGATCCATACACCGTTCCACAGTTATTGTCTGGAAACTAGAAAATGCTTATTTTTGGCCCCTTTTTGGCCCCTAATTCCTTAACTGTTGGTACAATAACCCCCAAAATCAATCCCCACCTTCCTTTTGTGGTATTGAACCTTATGGTAAAATTTCATAGAGATCCATTCACTTAAACTAAAGTTAGAGTGCGAAAACTAATGCGTCTTCGGACGACGACGCCGGACGACGACGACGACGACGCCAACGTCATACCAATATACGACCACAAAAATTTTTTGCGGTCGTATAAAAATTAAAGCCTGAAGTATATCTTTTGTCAGGAATAATTCTGTCTTGAGCATGAAGATTCCATTTCTGTCAACTTTTTGTATCCTGGGTGACACATCAAAGTCAATAAAAAGATTACTAGATTGATCAATTACAATCTTCAAACTTAAGAAAAATAGGTGTGTATTTTGCAGCGATTTTTTGTACACAAAGAAAATTCCATATGTAATTAATGGAAATACATATAATAAAATAGAAAAATGTTTAGCCTAGATTTGAGTCTTTGCGTCAATAAGAAAATATTTTCATCACGTCCAAACTAATGAAAAGCAGCATGCAGGGAAAAAAGCACCTTATATATGATGACTATAATAAAGAGAAATATGAATAATAAGCTATTCATAATGACCATGAATTATATAATTAATGTGTAGAATTTCAAAGAAGATTTGTTTATTGGAAATATCATTCCTTAAATTCTTATTCTGTAGCCTGATGATTATGAAAGTGGAAAATGGCCTCAATAATCACATCATAATCACATGTATATTTCTGAGGAGATAATGTTATTATTAAAGCTATATATTCATGATTGTACATGACATAAGGGAAACTGTATACCCAAATAAATGTTGCAGAAAAAAATGGATTATTAATCATCTAATCATCATTATACTACTAGTAAGAAAGACTAACAGTTTCCATGTAGCGGCCAAACCTGCCACAATATTAAAGATTGACAAAAGCACTATGGACATTTTCAGTTAAAATTAAGAAACCAGGGCTACTGGACCCTGCTAATTTTTTTCCATGACGTTCATTCAAATGTCAACATCACATCTCATCATCATCAATTGTGTTAGAATCTCAGCATCACATCCAAGTTTTTGTATTTTTTACAGTAGATGTTAATTAAACAGCAGGATTGTTTTGATTTGAATTTTTGTTTTGTCGCCATGTAACGTCTGTGACATTTTACATACCCTTATAAGATACAATGTAAAATCAAATCAAGTTATCTTCATTCTTGCTACATTTAAAAGTGGAAGTTCTGAGCATTTAGAAATGATAATAACTAATATTACTTAGAGTGCAAGTCCATTATAAAATTAAGGTTAAAATATCACAGATTCATGCCCTTAAGTGTAGAATGTCAAATATATTAAATAAACACATTTAGTACCACAAAATACAGAATACTAATGTATGGACAATAATGCATGTAGTTTTGTAATTTGAACATTATAATTCACTCGGAGAGATCCGGTCCACCTACACATATTCATAAAATATTATATTATTCATTACATACATAAATATATATATACCTACATAAATGCATTTACCAAAAATATCTGCCTCATCATCACATGATCAGTGCATTGGTCATGCATATAACATAGTTAACCCATGAACACTCAAGCCTTGTTGTCTCTATCAAAGTTTGTTCACCCCGTAAACCCATGAACACTCAAGCCTTGTTGTCACTATCAAAGTTTGTTCACCAAGTAAACCCATGAACACTCAATCCTTGTTGTCACTATCAAAGTTTGTTCACCAAGTAAACCCATGAACACTCAAGCCTTGTTGTCACTATCAAAGTTTGTTCACCAGGTAAACCCATGAACACTCGAGCCTTGATGTCACTATCAAAGTTTGTTCACCCCGTAAACCCATGAACACTCAAGCCTTGTTGTCACTATCAAAGTTTGTTCACCAGGTAAACCCATGAACACTCAAGCCTTGTTGTCACTATCAAAGTTTGTTCACCCGGTAAACCCATGAACACCCAAGCCTTGTTGTCACTATCAAAGTTTTTTCAACAACAAAATTTAGTCAAAGTTTTGATGGATTTTTTACAGTGCCAATGGTCAAAGAAAACATTGATAAACAATTTTGATGCATATCAGTTTTGGGTACTATGTTTTATTCATTACAGGTAGTTGTACCAGTAATAGGCTTAGAGCTCCCCAACAGTTACTGTTAGTACTCTTAGATTGGTCATTTGTCTGGAATTCAATGGCTGCTGGTCCAGAAGGTCTTTTATGATAAACTATAGATTAGAGCTCACACTATTCACATGTATTCATTGGTCAAAGCATTTTGCAAAAGAACATACAGGTCAGGTGCCTGTAGTTCAGGGGTTGTCTGTGGTTCATGTCGGTCATATTTGTTTTTCGTAAATTGATTTGTTATATATTTGGCAGTTATATAATTAGTTTTCTCAATTAAATTGTTTCATATTTTTTATGTTGGGGCCTTTTATAGCCGACTATACGCTATGGGTTTTTCTCATTGTTGAAGGCTGTATGGCTGCCTATAATTGCTTACATCCACTTAATTTGAACTTTGGTGGATAGTTGTCTCATTGGCAATCATACCTCATCTCCTTATTTTTATATACAGGTACATGTAAATATATGATGGTAAATCAACAAAATGCATACATACACATGTATAAAACTGGTGAAGTAATCCACTAAATTTTGTAATTCATTGCTCTACAAAGAACTTAAAATCAAAACATCTACTAGTACTAATTATATATAAAGAAAAAGACAATTTGTAAAAATATAAGTAATGTATATATATATATATATATATATATATACAGGATGGGTTTTGGAAGAATAATAATATTATTATCATTTTAAAGTATAGCATTATTGAATTGTAAAAGGAAAACAAAAATGGACTGTTAGATTATTTACTTAACTGAGGTCAAGGTCAAAAGTCAAACTTTTACTAGTTATTGCTACTCCTCAGAAACCATAATAAATAGCTGCAAAAGATTTTCACTCTTCATCTAACATATGAAGTAATAAAAATGTTGAATATTAGGATATTTATCATCAAATCTAAACAAGAAACAATTTACCATTGCACTGTGTAGCTACAACTTCTAGTTTGTATCTAGTCTGTGGAGTATTTTCAGGTAAACGAGGAGATATATTAACCAGATTCCCTTTTACATTGTACAGTTTCAGTATGTCATGTGGCCCAGCCTCTGCTGCACTGCGAAAAGTTTCTGAAAAGATAGAATATACATTGAATTTAATAAAAGCTTAATAAATATATTTATTAGATACTTAGTAGTAAATACAAGTAAATTGTATGCACATGTATAGTCTATAGTCAATGACAATTGTGCTGTATCAGCCATCCATGATGATATTGACATCAGTCACAGTTGCAAAGGCTTTATCAAACCGCTTATCTGTATGACGTCACATAATCGATATCAGTCACAATTACAAAGGCTTTATCAAACCACTAATCTATATGACGTCGCGTAATCGATATCAGTCACGGTTATATTAAGGCTTTATCATATGTATTACGTCATGTCTCAAAAACATCAAAATCAGTTGTGCTTGAATTGAGGTACATGTATATAATAAAGTGAACAAAGTGTCAATATCACACACCAGATCAACCCTCAGCAAATATAATCCCTAGATCAGAGCTCTTGGGAATATATTGACGTCACGGGTTGATACAGGTGTGATATTGAAAAAGTGATATGCAATTCTCTATGTATAGTATTACCACCTGTAATTGTGTAATACTGAAAATGGACATGTATGAGGACTTATAGAAGTCATATATATGTAATTATTGTGTTGTTGGGTTGCTGTTCCATTGATAAAAACCCTGTATCTAATTTTAGTATGCATTATTATATAACCTATATATTCAATTAAGTTATTACATATGATGAGAGAAAAAGCCATCAAGTGCTTCCAACACAAGCTTGAAAAAAAATATGATAAAGTTCTGATACATGTCAAAGACATCTTTTCAGAATAGTTATTAGGATGCTGTGTATGTTAAAATGCATACATTTATATAGATCTCTGCAGCAAAAATAATTTGATATAGATAAGTAGCTGCTAATACTCTTCAAACATGTATACAAATATTGAAATAAGAAGTTTTATTACATTGGTAGCAATGAATTACATTGATTTCCCAGTCAAATAAAAACCGATAATTTCACATGTGAAATAAACGTGTTTATTTCACTCTCTGACGTCATACAACAACAGGCGTTGTCAAGACGTCGATAACGTCAGATCAAAACAAATTGTGAATGCGTAGAAAAAAGATATAGTTCCTTACATTTTCTACATTAATTTCATTAAAAAAAGCCATTTGCCAATGTAATAAAAAGAATAACTAATCAAAGAATTCAAATATCGAAAAATATTCAACTCGTGACCGAACAAAACTGATAATTAACTCATGCGCTATGCGCATTCGTGAATTAATGTGTTGTTTGGTCACTCGTTGAATATTTTTCTCTATTTGAATTCTTCGATTAGTTATTCTATAAGTATTTTTTGCCAATGAGACAACCTTCCACCAGAGACCTTAAACTCCCTAATGATGTAGAAGTTAACATGTTGTCAATTACAGTGAACATGGTGAACACAATGTATTTGAGGTTAAATCACTCTGGTTGGTGATACAGGTAAAAATCATGGTAAATTTAATTCTTGTTGGTGATACAGGTAAAAATCATGGTAAATATAACTCTTGTTGGTGATACAGGTAAAAATCATGATAAATTTAACTCTTGTTGGTGATACAGGTAAAAATCATGGTAAATATAACTCTTGTTGGTGATACAGGTAAAAATCATGATAAATTTAACTCTTGTTGGTGATACAGGTAAAAATCATGGTAAATATAACTCTTGTTGGTGATACAGGTAAAAATCATGATAAATTTAACTCTTGTTGGTGATACAGGTAAAAATCATGGTAAATATAACTCTTGTTGGTGATACAGGTAAAAATCATGGTAAATAGACCTTTGTTGGTGATAAAGGTAAAAATAACTCTGGTTGGTGATACACAGGTTAACACCACTGACTTGTTGGTGATTTAATGGTGCCTACTGAATGCCTGTGCCATTCAGTCTGAAATATCTTTCTTTAAATAACATGGATCATAAATCAGAATACTGTCACCTTAAATCACCAGCAATCACTCATTTTGAGTTATTCACTCAATACCAGCAACAATGATTTTTAAGCTGAATTTTAACTAAATCACCTTGGGTATTGCAGATGCATGTACATTTATATTTGCAAGTACTTCTTTAGTTAAGATTTGCCGCCCAAGATATGTGATCTTTTCATCAGATTTCTTACAGACATAATTCAGACTTCTCATGACCCAGATTGCTTGAAGCATTGAATACTGTAAATTTGTTCTGTCAGATTAATATAATCTTATTTTATATTTGATATACATTTGTAACTTTATTTTAAAACTTAATATTTATATACACCTATTTAATGCATAATCAAAACTAATTACGTGCACAACAGGTCTTGACCATCCAAAAAATTTAAATGGAATATTGTATTACAGATATGTCATATCATAAATATTGTTAAATCTCTGAAACTGCTTGAATACAGAAATATTTTAATCCCTTTTTATCAAAGTGATGTTCAAATGATTAAGAGATTTCTTGCTTTGCTGTTCCATTACGTAAACATGCAAGACATCATGGAGCGATGTACTTAGGAGCATCCACTATAGAGGTGATTTGGAAAATTCCTCAGTGAAAAATAAGTTGTTGACATCGAGATACTAGTATATTGAACTATGACTAGAGATTTTTAAGCTCTAGATTAGGTTTCTTATCAGGCAATTTTGTTTATGTCATACTTTTTCAAAAGAATTTGCAATTTTTTTCCTTATTTCATTGTGAGATTGATAATATTCAGCTGGAGGACCCTCTAGATATCATGTTTTTATCATTGAACTATGACAAAAGTGGAGGTTCAAATCTGTGCATACATTCTGATGTTCAGTTCCCTGGTCAGGAAAAAAAATATAAAAGCGAGTAGATGCAAAAATTAACAGCATTTCATATGCCTTAACTTTATAATTTAGGCGGTCAATGAAACAAGAGGGTATATTTTCAAGTTCAAACAGAAAACATTTTCATGATTTTGTACAATTCAATTCAGAAATGCAAAATCCTCAGCAGTATCATTTTTATTTGCACTGTTCAATTGGTTTACAGTTAAAATATCCAAGACAATTTACAGCTAATTACCAGTATGTTTTATGCAATTTCCCACATAAAATGGGATACAATGCAATGAGCACTTATAACAAACCTGACAAGACATAAGTGAAACTTAAAAACCTATACACATGCATATATGGTTTGTTTTGTTTTACTCCTTTAAATCAAATTAATCTGAAGAATATGAGCTTTCCTAAAGCATAAAATAGTTGAGGTGAGAGTCATGGAAAATAGGAAGAAATGTCTGGCCAATAGTATATATCATTATAAGATTGAGACTTGAAAGCAATCTTTTCCCAAAAAGGCTCAATGCTTTGAATTTAGGTTTCACAACTCAAATCATAGCAATTCCAGTGTTTGATTCATGCTTAACATGTTTAAGTGGAGGTTTTTTAATTACATCAACTGAAAAATGTTTTAATCAGGCAGATTGAGAATTGAGATCTTAACCTTTTAAATTATATTAATATTTATATAATTATGTGATGTGTGCAATAAAAAAAAATACATATGGTCAAATATTTGTTTTTGTCCTGAAAATAATTCTAGTTTAAATATGACCTTATACATTGTTATACATAAACTTTAATCTTTAACAAGCAAATGTTTACTTAATATATAATACTGCTAAACTAGGATTAGCACTGGAACTGACCGATTATTCATTTTTAATCTGGACCAAAGTTTTTAAATAAATGAAAACATGTATGTTGTGCATAGTTTTCGAAGGTACAATGGACCCAAGTATAATAGCAAAACATCTTTTCCAGACAAACAGCAAAAAATGTGCATGTTCACATGATGTTAAAAACTGGTGAGTTTTCATTATAGTTTCATATACCAGTAGCCACATGATTCATTGATTACTTAAATAACAGTAATGTGGATTTTGTAACATTTGAAAGACAGAAACAGTTACAAATGTACATGTACAATAACTTACATGACTATAACAAGCAAGAGTTATGTGTTCTAATTGGCCTTTAATGGCAGATCTTTAATTGTTTCTCTTAAATAATTTCACAACTTTTATATAGACTAGGGTCTATTAAGAGGTTGACATATACAAAATGTAATGTATTGCTTAGACACTAATGTCTATTGTTGAAGATTTCTCCTTATTTTCATTATTGAGTTGCTGTCTCATTGACATAATTTTAGTCCACCATCATACTTGAAATCATATCAAACAAGATTCTTGTAATTATAACATTAAGGAAATACATGTAAACTCATCATAAATTATAGAACCAATTACATACATATATATTTTATATATACTAAACTCCTCAGTGCACGTTTTTTTAACATTTATTACAAATTAAATCTGTAAGGTTTAATCAACAAAAAATATTTTATTCTGTGATGGTTGATCGAAAACTTTGGCTGACGACTAACTTGCTGGTTTTGTTGTTGAAGTTTAATTTACTGATCATGACCTTGATACACAATCAACACAGAATCATGGAAAATGTGAAAAATAGTTGAGATGATAGAAATATGTTTATTTGTTTGTTTTTTTTTTTCATATTTTCCATGGATGTGTTTTCCTTTGGTTAAGTTTGGTAATCAAACTTTGCAATAATAGTTGTAAAATGATTTAGTGTTATAAAGATTTTACTTTGAGAATAAATTAACACCATCAACCCTCCAGGTTTGTTTACCTTTTCACACATAACATTTTTTCCCTAACAATTACGCTGTGCGGTTGCTGAAGTTCTAACAAGAGGTCTCATGGTTAAGATCACAGCATACTGAAAGGCTATCAGCCAATCAGAGTACAGGAAGATAACAACTCTATAGCAGTACATGTACATTTCTAAAGATTTAGATAAGATAAAGGATTTTCTTTAAAAAGAAACCCCACCAGGGGCTGCTCTGGCTCTTACGATAATTTGTACCAAAAAATCACCAGCTACATGCATGACATGTACATGTACGTATACATGTACATTGTACAACATGTATATTTTGTCACCAGTTTTGAAAACTTGGAGCCAACCTCTACCCAAAATCTTGTAATATATGAAATTAGCCACTCAAGTATATAAAACATAATCAACTTTTATTTTTACTTGAAGTATCATATTATTTTGATTCAGACAAATTGACAAAACCACCACCAATGTCTATAAGTGGTCACAAGCAAAGCAAAAATTGTAGAAATTACATTGCAAGGATTTCCTCCCACACAAGATGTCCTATTAATTCTTAAGTACAAAGTTGGCAGATTATTCATTATACAAGTGATCAATCTTCTATTAACTTCTCATTCCAATTAGAAAATAGATTGACACTTTACAGTTTCTCAATTGTATTTTTGTGACAAAGATGAATTAATTATTGCACTTCATAGTTAATTTTCTTTCATATTTGAAAACCTTTTATTCATGATCAATCTTGTTTACATCATTTATAATATTTAAATCACAGTAATATAGATGTTTGGTAACATTTGTAAGCAAATCAATAACTTGCAAGAGTTCTGTCCCTTTTACATACATGTATATGTATTCAAGCTACATTTTACATAGTCCTGACCTTGACCTACATGTATGTGGCATTGGATTCTTTAACATGAAGTTAAATAAGTCTTATGATCAATGTAATGTAATGTATGTAACGTATCTTTGTTAAGTTTATAGTTGGTTAATCAGTTTAATCATTTGGTGTGTATTCTAGTGAAATTCTTCAAAAATTTACATATATCATAAACAAACAATGTATCTATAAAACTAGTATATATATATATATAAATGTATAAGTACAAGTGTTAAAATAATATTTACTACATTGTACCTCTGTGCTAGTCTGGTCTCATAGTAGCATGCTCCCCTCGTGAGTATGAAATTGCGGGTTCAACCCTATTGGTCGATATATAAAGACACAGATTACATCTTAATTACATTTGTATGAGTACATGTATATACATGTACAAATGTATACTGGACGAGTAAGACAACAATTTGTCTACTCTGGTGCCTCAGAAATAGTCCCAAAATATACATGTTTACATACATGTATCAGAATCTAACTTATCAGTAAAGGGGTCTTTTATATACATGTAGTATAAATGCTAGTAGTTAACTAGAACAAGACCTACTGGCCAGAGCATATCTAATTGGACTTAAACATGTTATTCTCAATTTACTAGTAACCATGGTAACATCTGTATTCACTGCTAAATTTCACCCATCAATCAATCGTAAACTTACATTGTACATGCTTTAATTTGTACTAACATTACAAAATATGGTAGTAATATATATTAAGTACATTTGTATTACCATGGAAGTAATATTGAATTACTTCCATGGTATTACTAAGGCAAGATATCATTCATTCCTTACCCAATCCTGCAGCCTGCTGATCGAATCAGAGGGGATATATAATATGTGTACTATTGATATAGAAAAGCATGTGCTATGCTTATAAAAACAAGGCCTTCCAAATTTCAAAAGTCTCCATAACATGACAAGATTTACATGCTAAGATATATATACATGTTTAAATCAAACAATTTATAACTGAATATATGTTTACATGTGAGGTAACGATAGCATACAGTATCTCCTAAGAAAACAGATCAACTCAGTTCAAAACTATTTATTTACATTTAGGATGAATGTGGAAATATAGGAAGGATTTAAATTGAAACCCATTAATATTTGACATATTATGTATTGAATAGATTGAAGTGGTATTTGCATTCCCATTGTGAATGCAAAGAAGTTTTTAATATGGTTAATGAAAAGCGAATTGAAATTTCATAGGTTTTTATAGCCATGAGATCTTTCTATTGAAACTTTTAACAATGCGATAAGTACACGCTACATATTGTGTAAACTTGAAAGTAATTATACAATAATTCAAATTGTGAAGTTGTATTTATTATCGGTTTTCAGTAACTGGTATTATTAAATGTGTTTAAGCACCATCAGTTATTTGTGGTTATAGTGAAAGCAAATATTTATATTATCACTTTGACAAAATATAGATTCTTAACTGCAGCTAAACAAAAAAAGGTTCCACTATGCATAAAAGCGTCAATATACATTGCAATACATTTAAGATAAATGAATTTTCATCTAAAAAAAATATCCTGCACCGCATTCACTGTATACATGTACTTGAAGAGCATGTTTGGAAGCCATTATTTCATTTAGGTTTTTTCTCCTATTCAAAAACTCTTGAACTGACTTGAGTACTAGTTGTTTTACATTTTTAGACTTAAAATGGACAGGTACAAAAAATGTATACAGTATAGCGATTTTTTTCTTGTTTATATTTCAAAAATGTTATGATCATTTGATAACACGGATTTCTAGATATACAGAAAAAAAATATCAACTAAATTGATATTTAGTAAACATGGTAAACACAAATGAAAGATGAACACTTTTGAATTTAAGTTACTAGTTCAAACAGACCTTATTCTGATATAAACATTTAATGACAAATTAATGTTAATACATTGAAAAGACCACACATATACAATTTGTGTACAAAAAAATGAGATGACCTATATCTTTAAATTATTTAAAACAATATACAGTTCAATCTTTAAACAGATAATCATTCTTGTAAAACTATTTCTGGTTTAACCTGAACAGAATTATCTCTTATATTTTTATACATGTATTCACATAAAGACAACATTTCATATTAAAGTTTCTTGTGAAAAAATGCAATGACTACATGTAATGCTCTAAACCATGGTTGTGGAAATTAGGTAGATTTCAGAAAATGGTACTGGTCTGAGCAAATGAGAACAGAATGTGCCCAAATTTTTTGAACTTTTTGATCAATATGCAGCAAAAATTACCATTTTTTGAAAATATCAGTGTAAAAAGCATGTAATGCAATTTTATCTCGATAAATAATGGAAAAAAGACACTATGCATTTGCATACATGTACAATGTACATGTTTATTTCAAAAGTTAAAAAAAAACAGTTTAATTAAAAAAAATATAAAATTTTAAAATAGTACGATTGTGGTTTTGAAATAACTTTAATCTGTATGATTACTGACGTAAACGAACTATCGATATTTAGTTATATTGTAATTTAATCAGAAGTTATTTTTCTAATGTTCCTGCTCCATCAGTTACATTTTGTAACACAACATATAGTTTTCAATACAGTATGAAATGGAAAAAAGGATGAAAGAACAAAAATCTAATAAACAATATAGATCTTGAATGTTTCATCATTGTGTTAATTTGCCCTTGAATTTTGAAGAATTTGTACTATGTAGTGATATGAAAATGAAAAGCATTAAAAAAACAAGCTTCATTTAAAAGTTTAGTAATAAATCACTTTGGAAATCATAAAAAATATCCAGAATCCATAGAAAAATAAATAAATCTTGATAATTTGAACTAAAAGGGTCTTGATTTTCAAATGCTATTAATTAACACAAATTTATAGACATTTTCATTTGATTTGAAGTGCATACATGTACATCTGTATATAGAGCAAATTCAGCAGTGAGACATTCATGTACTTATCTAATACTACCCAAGTTGCAAACCAAAGGCATAGATCCTCAACAAAAACTATATCTCTAAACATAGGTTGAGAACATTACATTTTCCCCACACACTTTTTAGAGTGTAAACTGATGGTGTGCACAGGTGGCTTCCATACACATCTTTTAATTGAAGGTGGAAGATAAATAAATATGTGTCGTTTCCACTGCCTTGTAAGCTTAACTTCCCCACAATAAGAATATAACAAATCAAAAACTGTTCATTCAACAACTGATGCAGGACTTATTCTTACCTTTCAAATCATCAGAAAAGTCATCGCTACGAAATTCTGCTTGTTCATTTTTACCATCCACTACAAAATATATTATCTTAGTAGCCATAACTATATGATATAACCTTTCATTTCACTTAGAATGATGGATCATAATTGTTACTCTTAACTTGTTAATTTTGTCACGTTTTATAGTGTTTCCCGCATGGTGAACCTGTCAATATTGACGTGTGAACCGTGGCGTCCACATTGGAATCAGTTTCGAAAAAAGATGAAGGCGATTAAATCATTCCATTTCTCGTTGGCAACCAATTGAAGCCTTTAAATAATAACACAGATGTTAAAAAACATTTTTATATAGAATTTAACATTAGAAATTATCAAACAAAGTTTGCTGACATTAAAGATTTCGAAATCGATTTATACAAAAGTTCCTCGCTAATGTTTACATCACGTGATTTGAAAGAAAAGTTTGTAGATTGCAGAAAAATCGCACGCTAGGAAAAAAAAAAAATTTAAGTCGAGTACACCTATAGTTTTAAAACTAACTAGAAATTATTGTATTATAAGAATCATGTTTTACTTTAAAAAATAGATATATGCATACCCTACAATCATAATGACTGCAAGGTAAACAAAAGGATGTCAAGATAGAGTTGCGAAATAGTAGGGTGTAGTTGATCCCCTGGCGTGATATAGGCATTCAAATAGCATATGTGTCTCTGCTTTTAGTTACTTCTCTCAGTATCTCCGATATCTAAGCCTATAAAATTACCACTGTTGCAGGCATGTCTAGAAATTGTAATTTAAACAGACAAAACATATCACGGTAAGTTGATGTTTTTTACAAACTTCAGTACATTCTGTTTAAATTGAGTTGTTTATCCGTCCAATCATTTCTTATCTAATTGGGCTAGAAAACGACACATTGTTGAGGTGAATTTTTTTTTTTTTTTTCATTTATACTATAACCAAAAGATTTTCCCACATCTTCGACTTGAAACAATATGTGTTTTTCTCTGTTATGCTTTTGGAGTATTTTTCGGTAAAAAATTCACGCATGTACGTGTGATTAAACAAAAATGCTAGATCGCCGACCCCATCCTCATATCTCAATTACGCATACAGTAATTACCTGCATCAGATCTGATTTAACAAGCTTTTCTGAACTCAAACTTGACGGCGAGAAACATTTTTAACGAATGCAAATGTTCATCAATACTTCTTGGACGCGTATATAAAAGCGACACTAGGTTGATATTGACAATAGATTATGCAAACCTTCAACATAAAAAATGTGTACTTTTTCATGGGCTCACAAGGAGCATGATATCTCTATCTCAGGCCCATCCCAACACAATTATAAAAAATGAGGTTTAATTGGCAATTCAATAAAATATGCAACTTAGCTGCAGAATGTACCAAGGGACAGTGCTGTATAAATAAATGCACCAAATTGGCATGTCATCCTCGTGTCTGATGCAAAAGAGTCAAAACATCTCACTAGGTGACCCGCCTACAGGAGACTACATGAAATAAAACAAAATACATACAAATGGAAATAATCCTTGTTTGTCATATTATAAATATACAAAAAAGGCATATTATTATATATTCGATGTATCTAGGTACCTACCGTTTTGCCTAGTGCAGAGAAGTTAAATCTTTATTTTCTGCATGGGAATCATGTGACAGAGTGAGTTAATCTTAGATAACAGTCAAAAAAGTTTTTCTATCATCAACTTCATTGGAAGTGCACATGAGACATACTCTGTTGTTTCAGGGAGTACCTTGAAAACGAACTTGTTGCAATTCTCAGTATGTTTGCCCAAATACGCAGTCGAGTGAAAATTCACCTCCGCTCAGGGTATCGCAATCGAATCAGATATTTTTCTAGACCACAATTTGTATTGGAAGTTTTGTCGCTACAGAGCTGTGCTTATCAGTACAGCTATGCATTTGGAGTCTCCTCTATCCTCAAAATATTGATACAGTTTTTTTATGGTAAACCCTGTCAAACCTCTTTATATATTGTGCAAGAAATTGAAAGACCCTGTAAGTTTCAAGTTCAGGTAAATTAATATGATTGTGTTAGCTAGATATAAGAAAAACTCTTTTCAATTTTGGATACAAATTATGAAATTCCTTGATTTCTTTTTATTTTACAGCAATATAACGTACTTCATTTGGCCTTTATATCTTTTTTGATTCGAGCGACACTGGTGAGTCTTTTTGTAGATGTAACGCGCACCTGGCGTACAAATTTTTAATTCTGGTATCTATGATGAGTTTTTATACATTGACTTATGCTCCCTTTAGTAATGGAAAAGATGAAACCAAATTGAAGCCAGTATATAATCATACTCGGACTTTTCCCAAACCATGTAAAAGTTTACAAAATTTAATATGTAGTGTTTAATATGAAAGGAGTCTAAAATAAGCCTGATCTGCTGTTGCAGTCTGCGATTTTATTTGTTTTAGCATATGATCAGTAAAGCAACAATTTACATAAAGCTACAGCTGCTAATTAATGTCAGTTATGGCAGTAATTAATACAGCAGAGATACATCTAATAAATTACAGGTTATATATATATAAACAAAAATCTGAACGAAATAAATTTAATGGACTAATTCCGATGTATTAGTATAGAGGCCCCGCATGGGGATGTCCACGTAATCACAATTTTTTTGCCAATATAATCACATAATCATTAATTATTTTTTTAAAAAAGATGATCAAATAATCAAACATACAGTCCTAGATTATCAAATAATCAAATAATCATGAAATATTTGATCTGGAAATCAAATAATCACTATAAAAACGGCCAAGTAATCACATAATCAAAAACCTCACGAGGAGGCTCAGTATACTTATTGACGCTCACGGGTACCCTTTTAGTCTGTCACAAACCGAAGTCTCTCAAATAATAGGAAATCTCTCTCTTTCTCTACACGAGACATATGATTTTATGTCCCCAGTCTGACCGGACGTAGCTGCGAATTTATACATCCCGCACAGCCAAACGGCGTCCAATTTTGTCAAGGGCTTTACTGTTGGTTGGAAGAAGATCAAGAGATGATCATATTTCTATTCCCCAGTCACCCTTGGGGTCTTAATTTATCTTCTTTCTGAATGCATCAGATACAATGGAAATTGGCTAAACCTCTTGTTTTTGTTCTTGTTAATGGCTGAACTTTTCTGGATTTTAAAGATAGATTGAAATTTTTGAATTATTATGCTGTTTTACTTACTTTAAAAGATGGTCAAATGATAATTATAAGCTAAGACTTAAATGATTATGTAAAATACGTCTGTATACCAATATGTCCTTGATTCTAATCTCTTGAAAATTCGTAAGTAGTAGGGATTGACGTCATGTGTTTTAAATAGCCATAAAACGACAGTAAAACTTCAAAAAATTTAAATGTTGAATAAGTGAAGTGTTAATATAAAGATTCATTTCCGCATTTATTACATTGTCATTGATACACATCAAAAATAAATGGTAGATCTGCAAACAACCCAAGTATAAGTCATGCCTACAAATTGACTTTAGAATGATAAAATTTTTCATGGGTTGCAAGCTTGAATTTATATAGGGAAACTGTAGGTCAAATGTTGGAGTAGTAAAATGAAAAGTTTTTGAAAAGGTTAGAAAAAGAACATGTAATAAATTGCTCTCAATTAATATAAAATTTGGCTGCGAATGGATGTAAATTTACCCAAGTTTTAAACGCATAATTTAAAACATAGCCCATTTTATGCATCTTCATCTGTGGGATTTCTTGTTTTATACTGAGTAAGAAGTTTAAATATAAGTTTCTGAATTGTTTGTGTCCTATTTAGAAATCTGTTTTAAAAAGAAAACAACACTCCGTTATAAATTTGTTGCATCCGAAGCGCCTTCCTAGATTGATCTTCATCAGGAACGTCCAAACCCTAAAGATTGAACGCGAAGTATAATAACTTAAGTATATCTGAACACGTGTACATCTATATTACTTTTAGGGACATGAAAAGAAGAGTCTTATAGACTAAAACGATAAAAGTTTTGGCTGGATACAGGTCTAGTAGTGAGACAGTAGTCATCGATCTAACAGCCCACAAGTATTAACAAAAATCCCGAAATCCAAGGTAAATTCAAAAAGGGGAAAGTCCAAAACGTGCTGGAATGTAATCAAGTGTTTTAGTTACTCGCTAAATGTAATCAAGTGTTGTGGTTACTCGCTGAATGTAATGTCACTTTGGACGTTAAGGATTACGGAGATCGTAAATAAGAATGATTGACATACAAAAATTTAAGAGAATGATGTTAAACTCATATTAAAAAATAAAATAACAAAAATACCGAACTCCAAGGAAAATCCAAGACGGAAAGTCTCTTATCAAAGTGGCAAAATCAAAAGCTCAAACACATCAAACGAATGGAAAACAACTGTCATATTCCTGACTTGGAACTGTCATTTTCTTATGTAGAAAACCTGGTTTTATAGCTAGCTAAACCGCTCACTTGTATGCCAGCCGCCTATGGAACCTGTGTGTTTCTTGAATGTGTGTTTTAAAAGCAACCGATGAAGTAAACTGATCAGACGAAATTTTTGGAACCATATTTCTAATTTTCAAGTTAATCTCTGGAAAGAAGAATGGCAAAGAATGAATTTAAGTGTGCTTTGTATAAAAAAAACTTTGATATTTTAATGAATACTCAGACACACATATGTGAACTGAACATCATAATATTTATTTACAATTGAATGCAGTTTTTGTAAATGAATGATAAGCAAGATATCTGATAAAGCAAAATGTTGAACAAATATTTCAAAAACCATTCGTCTTATCATTTAAAACTTTCAAGAATGGAGCTGGTTTTCTCGAGTAATCTACAAAAAAATAACAAGGATAATGATAAAAATACTTATTTTTTCGAAAATATTTTCATTGAGCTTTGATCGGTTTTCAAATTAATCATTAGGGTTGTAACATTTCAGTCAGTGATAGATTTGTAAGAGGTATCACTCACACGACCATCGGAAAAAGTTTTGTAACTTTTAATCATAAAAAGGAGTACATCAGATGGTCTGTACCTGTTCAACCTTCCAGCATTTAAAAAAATCTTTAGTTTAAAAACTTGCACATTATTTATCAAATTATCCAAATAATGATACTGAAAAATTTATTTAACTTTTGACAAGTTATCTAAAAATTACTCTTATATTT